GCATGACCATCCCCCCTGGGGGGTGATTTCTCACTTTATATCTCTCTGTCGCTGTCTGTCTGGCTAACACACTCGCCCTACAGCAAAAACCTCTCCAAAAGAAAAAAAAAAATCACTAAAACCCCAGAACAACACAAAAATTCTTCGAGTGGTTAAAGGAAAACACACATGGTATTACAGCTCTAAGATTTAATATTACCTAGTAATAGAAAGGAATAAAGTACAGAAAACCGTAACAACAGATGTGAGTCTCTAGTGTAATATAATAAGTGAAAGATGACTCAAAAAGGGATGTACTCCATTTACCTGTCATCAACACGTCATATGATGTTCTAAATAGACAACACGGAATTACAGGGATGGAAACAGAAAGCTGGTTTCTAAGAGTCTGTGTTAGGCAGGAGAGGCTGAGCATGAAGGGATGGCAAGAAGGACATTCCGGGGGTGATGTGAATGTTCTGTCCTTTGACTGTGATAGTAATACAATTGTGTGTGTTTGTTCAAACATAAAGAATTATGCCAGAAGTCCATGTTTCTGTGCACACATTTCTACTCAGTCAATAAAAACAGACTATCTTCTAGCACATAGCATAGCCTTGACTCATTTAGGAAAGAGCCAACAGTCCAGATCATCAAAACCTCAAGACTTAATCAATACACTGAGTTCAGTCTGAATAGGAATAATAAAAGGGGCTCCTTTGTGGTTGGGGTGCAGATAGGGAAGCAGTAGAATCAGCTTCTGGTGGTGGGGGGGCAGTCATCAGCATCATGTGTGTTTTCAAGTCATAAGTCAGGAAGGGAAATGCACGTGAGGTAAGCCGCGGAGGTGACAGACATGAATCCTGGGAATTAGAGTTTCCAGGCCACTCGGCTGTTGTGCCAGGCTCCTGACTTTGAGGACACAGGTGCAAGAATTAAGGACCCATTCAGAAAGCCAGCTGATGTGACCACAGCCCGGTGCTCCTACCGTCTGCTGATCATGGCCTACAAGAATCCCACCAAGGAGGAAGTAAACCGCACTCTGCCAGACCACTCCCTCAGTGGGTGTTCTGGTAAAGGTGAACAGGACCAAGTAGAGAAGGAAAGTGCTGCTAACACAGCATGTGTTTTAGCTTTCCCTGGCTCTGTGGCAGGCTGGGTTTCCAGAGACAGGGAACAAGCGACATCTGAGAAACAAATGCAACGACCAAATTATCTCAGGAAATACGAGGATGTCTTCATGGAGGAGATGGCATCTGATATGAGTTTAAGAGATCTGTACCTACTAATGCGGGGTGAGATGAACGAAAAGGAGGGGATGAAATGAGGGGAAGAAGACGATGACAGACAACAGAAAAGGGAATATTAACAAATGGGAGTACTGAAAATGCACGCAATGACCAAGCTATGACATGGAATATGGATGTGAAGTGGAACTGGCGAACTGGCCCGTCTGCTAGGGATAGTACATGGAGAAGTGGCCATGGGTAGGTGCCCTCTCATTGCATAAAATAAGTCACAGGGAAGCACAACCACTCTTGCTCTGGATGTTAGTTACGGTGCTTGAAAGTTAGAGAATTAGGACAACTTGGGTTTTCTGCTTTCTGGTGCTGTCAGTTCATAGCTTTACTCAATCAACCAAATGTTAACTGAGCATCTATCCTGCCTGGCTGCACACACACTGCTGTATTTCAACACTAATGTTTTATTACACCTCTATCTAGAGTTCACGGTCTGTGTAGCAGAACTTGGAACAACTACAGGAAACACATATTTAAATAAGAGGATTAACAACAGCCAGTGGCATGGTGGTTAAGGTGGTTATGTTGGTCAAATTCCGCATGGCCAATGGTATGGTGAGTCTTGGAAAACAGACCAGGCACATGTGCATACATGCCCAAAATTCCAAAAGGAGAATGAAGGAGAAAGTATTCCAGCATGGTCATCCATCCTGGGAAGTGTTGTCTTACGTCCCCTCCCCCCCTCTGTCTCTCTCATGTGAGTACAGGTACCCTATAGCAAATTAAAAAAATAAAAATAAAAATCTGCCTTTGAGTCTTTGCCTACAGTGTACAGAATTGATAAGCATTTTCTCAATACTTTATATCTGCAGTAGTCTGAGCCAGATATTATAATAAATATTCTCAAAGTTAGCCTTATTGCCTCTTTTACTTCTTTCTCTTTCCTTCATTTTGAGAACTTAATATATTTAGATCTGTGGCTGCATACCAGTCAGTAAATCAAGAGAGAAGCAATGTAAAAATCATACTGAAAAATGGAATTTGAAAATTTCATTAGAGACTGAGAACAGTTACAAAATTTGTCCAGGGTTAGCAGGGAACAAGTTAGGTAGCCAAGATGTAAATGCAGGCTTCAAAATTTAAAACCCTTGTTTTTACACTGAGCAAAATATAGTCCCTACAAACAATAATTTATAGAAATTAAAAAGATTACATATTTGGTTAAGAAAGTTCCTCTTGAAAGAAAAGACAATAAAGTGCAATTTGGTACAAGATAACATGTTCTCAATAGGCCAACCCATGTCACATACGTGGTGACTCCATCTGGTTGGAATATTACATCTGCTTTTCTTCTTACTTTTAAGCTTTCATGTTGTTTTTGTTTTATTTTTTTAAAGCCATTTTCAATTAAGATTTCTAATTCTAAATTTGAGATGCCAAATGACAAGAGTAGTAATTAAAGAACAGCTATCTCTTCTCTTTCTGAGAAGAAACAAGGTCTTTTGTTTCTAAATGATGAAACTCTAGAAAAATTTTCATAATTTTCTTCATTTTTAACAATGTTCAGCTTAATTAAAAGATGCTGGATTGGGCTAAAAAGTCAATGCCTTCTTGCTAAAAACCCTTTTGTGGAATAAACATAAGTCAACCCTAATACTCTGGGTGCCAAAATAATTTTTTTTTTTTTAAGTTTTTGTTATAAGGTACATGTGCTTGAGAGAGAGGGAGGGAGGGAGAAAATATAGAAAGTGAGAAATTACATCCCAAGGGTTTGACATTCCCTTCTCCTCTGGGATTTTGGGCACACATGCACATGCACCGGCCATGATTTCCAATCCACCAGATTTGGGACTTGAACTGCTCAGTTATCCATGTGGAGGATCCAGTGCTCAACCTCCATACCACTTGCTAGCCCTCCTCAGACTTTTATTGCTGCAGATACATAATCTCCACATCTTACGTAAGGTGGAATCATTCTGTAAAGTACTAAAGCAGGCACTGCCCCAACTCATTTGCCTAACTTTGAGACTTTTTTAGGAGTCTAAATTTAGGAAAGTTTTATAAATCAAAGAGAATATACATTTTCAATGGAAAAAATGATTCAGATTAGTTAGCTAAGATGCAAACAGTATTTTTTTGTGGTTTTCCTCTGTTTTACTTAAGAGAACCAGCATTACTAATACTGATATTGAAAACGATTTAGTAAGCTCTTTCTTACTTTAGTGCTTTTTATTGGTGCCAGAGGCTGTATTTTCACATGCAAAGTATAATCAGGGTTTGAGGCAATTAACCATATAATTCAGGTCACTAAAAGCAGGCCAGTCTCTGGTGTAAAAGGAACCTCTTAAAATGCATAGGCCCAAAAGAGAATCTTTTGAAACATTTCCCAATATAATTTTGAAATAGCTTTGGGACATATTAAATTTCATAAAGGTACACACACACACACACACACACACACTTAAATGGATGCCTGTGGGTGTATTTGTTTTAGTTTTTCTTTTTTACTGTAAAACTTCTCAGAAGCTATATGTTAATGTGTCCTTAAAGTTTCTGAGAATGTTGCAGGCTTCAGACATTTTCAAACTTTCTTTATCCCAAATAGTTTCGGGCAGAATATAGCATGGGACTTCGACTCAGTGGAAGGACACATTGAGAAACTTTCTACATAATAACAACTCACTTATATGGTATTGTGTCTAGAGATGAAGTGGGGTAGGGTAGGGTGAGGTGAGGCAAGGTGAGATTTGAAAGCATTTATGTTCGGGGAACCAGGATAGAACATAGAATGGCACCTTGCAGAACTACCCAGAGCAGAAAGCAGCCCAGCACAGCTGGTGTGAATGTGCATCACCACAGACATCAAGCCCTGCAGGACTGGGCCACTTTCCCATATTCGTTTTTAGCCCATATTCAACCAGCTTCCTTTCACACACTTCTGTGACTCTGCTACAGCCACACCGTCCTCCTTTTGATTTGTTTCTTCTCATTTTTCTCATTCTTTTCTTTATTTAATGTTGTTTCATCTGCCTGGGTCTCCGTAGTCTCACAGTGGAGGTCATCGTTTAAATGTCATCTTCCAGAGAAACATCCTCTGTTTACTCAGTCCACAGCGGATCCCTCCCTTGTCTCCTAATATGTTTTCCCACGGAACTCTGCTTTTATTCCTCCCAGCAGTGTTCACGGCTTTCATTCCCACGTCGGTATTTGCTCATTGACCTCATGTCTCTTTCCTTGGACCATAAGCACCACCAAAGCAATAACGGGCAATGCTCATTTTGTCAAATTTTGTAAGAGCCCCTTGTAGATGAGTGTTTCCCATAGAACATGCCTTTCGTGGGAACCAGCAGTTAGCGTAATGGCTATGTCCCTGGACTCCCATGTAGTCGACCGTGGTTCACGTCCCGGACCTGGTGGCTTAAAACTCATGCCGGGCACATGTGCGTGCGTGCCCAAGATCCCGAGAGGAGAATGGAGGAGAAGAGATTGCGGCGTGACCATCCCCCCTGGGGGGTGATTTCTTGCTTTCTGTCTCTATGTCTCTCTGTCTGTCTGGCGAGCGCACACGCCCTATAGCGAAAACCTTTCCAAAAAAAGAAAGAACATGCCTTTAGTTAATACATGCGGACGCTTCATATAACCTGCAGTCACACATATTCTAAGACACCAAATGGGCATTGTGGCTGTAAAATATTTTGGCAATAATGATGGCTAGGAACGCCAATGAATCATCAGTGTAAATGAATATTATGTGTTCATTACAGAGAATGACGTTTGTACCTGATTTTTGTTGTATTCCTCGATAGCTCTGCTTTTTGATTCTTGTCCTGCTGATTTCAGGGCTCTGCAAAAACAACAGGACAAAGTGTTAGGATTTGGTGTTTCACTGGGAATGTCTCTTATTAAAGCACCCATAGATGTATTTAATGTGCTTATAATGCCCATTTTCACAAATGTCACAACTTATCATTAACACAAGATTCATGGAACATGGCTACTTCTCTTTTTTTTTTTGGTATTTTTAAAAATTTATTGATCAATTTTTATGTGCTAGGTACTTTTTTTATTAAAATTTATTTATTTACATTCATTCACTGTACATCATTACAGCATACAAAATGAGATTTTCCATCCAGAGTACACTGTATATTGGCTCAATCAAGCACATCAACATACATGTTATCGTCAGCAAATAATTTTCCATTTCTTGTTTCCTGTATGTTTTGTATTTTTTTTTCCCATCCTTGACTCCCTCTCTCTTACCCTCTGCCATCGCCTCTTCTCCCCCCACACTGTCTCTGGTACATTTTTATTCCAAATTAATCTCCTTCATTCAGTTCATAGAGCTTTCCTGGAAGGAATGAGAGCTGACCCTTATTCACTGCTTATGCAGGCCCGCACCACTCCACACCAAGCTCCATTCTAAGTTACATGAATTAACTTACTCCTTCTGTCCACTAGGCAATGAAAGGTTAACTCAGCAGGCCCAGGTGATTCAAATCCTGCATGTTCTAAAGAAAGGCCTGTCTTCAGAACTGGCCTTGGGTCAACCTCCAGCAGATAACCTCTGAGCTCTTGGCAATAGTCTGCCTGGCGTGAGTGTTTCTGTATTCATGGGGACTTGCGCTTGGCTGGCCCACTCTGACCAGATGAGTTCGTTCTGAAATGGGAACACCTGCTACTGCTAGAGGGGAGGGAGATGGAGCCGGGTGGCTGAGGTCAACCATCTGGTGTGGCCTATTTATGTGACTGACCCTCAGAAAAACTCCGTAGGCCACAACTTGGCTGAGCATCCTGGTTCACCACGTCACTTGTGCATGCTGGGAGCCTTAAGCACATTCCCATGTGATTCCATGGGGAAGGGTTACCCAGGAGTTTGGTCTTGACCTTCACCTCCTGGGCCTTTCCCTTTTCTGCTTCTGTCTGCACCTTTTCACTGTTTCAAAATGCGATTCTGATCACACAGCATTTCTGAGTCACGTGAGTCCTTCCAGCATGTCATTAAGCCTGAGGGTGGTCTTGGGGTTTCCCAACGTAGCCACCCTATCAGAAAGGCACTGTAATTATCCACGCTTGATAAAGAATTTGACGGGAGTGAGGTAACCCAGTCAGAGTGCCACAGCTAGTTTAAGTGTCAATATTTTAAAGTTCTTGCCTTTCTTCCTTCTGTAAACCAGAGACAGGGAGAAAAAGAGAGCCCTCCCAGAACAAAGGTCTTCATGTTGCAAACTAGTCCCAGGTAGCTGGAGTCATGGGCACATGTGTAGCCGTCCTGCTTGGGGAGGGATCGTCTCTGTACCTGACCTAGGACCCTTCCCATGTGGCTCAGCCTTGCAGAGCATTTGCAGTGCTGCTGCACCACCCTCTGGCCCCAGCGTGTCAGTATTCTCATTTGTAACCAATGGTCTGCTTCCAAAGTGAGCAATTTGCCAGTCTGCAAATATTTAACTTGTTACTACATGTGATTCAGTAAGTGTTTCCAAAGATGCATCTAGTCTTACTGCCTATTTTATTACCAGGAATGATAATTTTCAAATTTAAACCTAGTGTCAATTACCAAGATTTCATTATATTGGCACAGAACAATAACCTTCTTAGTTACTATTATATTTTTAATTTGTTACATGGAGCTTTCCCTCTCTAGAGAGAGAGAGGGAGGGAGAGAAAATAAGAAAGCAGCCCCTAAGGGTGATGGCCATGCCACTATCCCTTGTCCTCCACTCTCCTCTTAGGATTTTGGCACACACATGCACATGCCTGGCATGTCCCTCAAGCCGCTGGGTCCAGTACCCAAACTCTGCAGTACGCCATGTGGGATTCAGAAGACCTGACCACCACTCCACCAGCTGGCCCAAGTTAAATTGTCCTCTAACTGCATTACTTTAAAATAAACTTCCTTCCAGGTATATCAACAATGCAGATGAAATTTTCTCATAACTATCATACAGGTTTCTCTAGTCTATATGGATTTTTTTTTTTTTTTTTTTTTGAGAGATTTTCACTGTAGGGAGCGTGCGCTCGCCAGACAGACAGAGAGAGAGACATAGAGACAGAAAGTGAGAAATCACCCCCCAGGGGGAATGGTCATGCTGCAATCCCTTCTCCTCCATTCTCCTCTTGGGATCTTGGGCACGCACGCACACGCGCCCGGCGGGAGTTTTAAGCCACCGGGTCCGGGACACGAACCGCGGTCGACTACGTGGGAGTCCAGCGACATCGCCATTATGCTAACTGCTGGTTCCCTAGTCTATATGGTTTTTAATATTGGTGGATAACAGTACAAAAAGTAAACTTTAGGTTATATAAAGCCTCATTTAATTTTTGAAAGACATATATCTTATTCAATTTTTCTTAAATTTTCATGTTTTCTTTTCCCAGTCTCCCAGCTGGGACTCCAGTCATGCCCCCTCACCCAAGTGTTTCAGATGGCATCTTGCTATGACGCCCAGGTCAGCCTTGAGCTCATGACCCTCCGGCCTCAGCCTCTCAAGTTGCTGAGATTAGAGGTACACACCACCATGCCTGGCCTTTAGAAATCCTCATATTTCTTAGTTTGCTAGTTCCAGAAGTTCTTTTAAGGTAAGTGTTAAAAAGTTTGACATTAAGAGAAAGCATGGAACTTGTCACTCAGTTGCAACGAAACAAAACAAATAAAATGCAAACCATCTATTGATTGTTGAACACAAAACAAAACAAAAATACTATACCAGTTACATAGAAAAGTCATAAGCACATTATAGCAAGCTTTTATTCAGGTAGATTTTGCAAAAGATCCTTCGGTCTAATTAGTCATGGCCCTTAGGTATCTGGGGTAGGACCTTCATTCTAACACTTGAACAAAATCATAATGTATCTCTTGTCTTTTTCAAATCCACCTAAAGCACTGTGCTGAGCTGTTCATAATGGAATAGCAGTGTTCTGTCCTTAACACCAGAACAGACTGCATCTCTCTTCTTGAGATTGCCAGGTGCCATATTCCAACTGCAAATTCGATGTTGTTGTATGGAAGGCAACATAGTCTCTTAGTGTCCAAACGAGCCCCTGAATAATTTGTTAAAACTTAAGTAAAGCATACAGAAGGGCGACACCTCATGCTGTGATGATTAAATACATTCGGTATACACTGCATAATGGTGCAAGTTCAAAGAACAAAAGTTTATGATGCAGAAAGATCAGCCTTGTGACATGAGCCCGAGTCTTCCAGACTCGCGTTTGCCATGTTATTCATCACTTGTTAGTGCCTATCATGAAGCAAGAACCAATATTTACTCAAACCCACTGAAGTGTGTGGTTGCCTTAAATAAACTTTCCCTGAGGTAATGCAAGCAAAAAATATTATTAACACTCGCTACTACTTTCATGATACATGATCAAATACCATGTTTTTCTTAATAAGGTCATAAATATTTTCTTTAAGGAGCATATGCAAAATGCTATTACTTTAAGCAACTGGATGTCAAGCTGAATTGAACATTAGTATTCAGGATTGAACTGTAAAACATTCCGGGACCAGCAGATGGCATAATAATTGTGTCACTGAACTCCCACATGGCCAACTGTGGTTTGAGTCCCTGACCCAGTGGCTTGAAAATTACACTGGGTGCGTGTGTATGTGTGCCCAAGATCTTAGGAGGAGAATGGAGGAGAAGGGATTTTTGCATGGCCATCCGTCCTGGGGAGTGATATCTCACTTTCCCTCTTGATGTCTCTGTCTCTCTGTCTCTCTCTCACTCTCTCTCTGTCTCTCTCTCCAGTGAGCACACACACTCCAAGGCAAAAGCCTCTTAAAAAAATGTAAAACTTGGGACCAGCAGTTGGTGTAATGGTTATGTTGTTGGACTCCCATGTAGTCAACCATCGCTTGAGTCCCAGACCTGGTAGCTTAAATTCACGCTGGGTGGGTGTGTGTGTGTGCCCAAGATCCCGAGAGGAAAATGGAGGAGAAAGGATTGCAGCATGGCTATCCTCCCTGGAGGGGTAATTTCCTGCTTTCTGTCTCTCTGTCCGTCTCTGTCTCTCTGGCGAGCGCATGCACCCTATAGCAAAAACCTCTCCAAAAAAAAAAAAAGTAAAACATTGAAAACAATTAGAATGGCCTCTATTCAGCTTGCACCTTAGACTACTTATATGGGACCTTCTTTGGTCTCTGTATCCAACCCCTTCGTGGCCCTGAATGGGGCTTTCCTCCCCTCCTGTTTCTCCTCCTACCCCAGAATTCTGGTGAGATGAGGATATAGTTAAAGTCAAAAGTAACCAAAAGCCTTTTTCATGTTTCTCCAAGAAAGAAAGCAGGACTTAAGATGCCTCTTGTTGATTCTAGAAAGCCTGGGTGACCCCAGGTCAAGGGCCCCCACTAGCGAAAGGCTTGTAGACATTATCCAAAGGTAGGAGCTGAGGGAGGTGGAGTTTGGAACAGATCTGGTGGAAAGCATGCTGGGTTAATCAGGGAGTGTATGATATAGAAGTCCTCAGGGTTCTGAAAAACTCATACATTTATTCCTAAAAGGTCTAGCATTTAAAACCTGTGTCACAGATCATTTACAGAATTACTAGACCCTGTTATAATAAACTGACTTTAAAATAGATATAAAAATTCAATCTCCAAAAAGCAGCCTTTAAAACTCTTGCCTACATGGTCCCATTTCCTTCCCTTATTATACAAGGTGAGGTAGAATTTAGCTGGCAATGGCGTTATTCTCAACATAATCTTCAGGTCAACTGAAAGACTATATAAAAAAATTGTTATTGGAATTAAAAAAAATTTCAAGCAAAGTCTCTAGATGCTAGGAAAATGTGTAACAATGATTTTTCTATATAACAGCAATAAATAGAAAGTAAAATTCT